ATACAGCACAGTGAAATTTCAGATGCAAACATCTGAAAACATGAAATTGGTCAATTTCAAAAACCTTCTGGCCATGAAACTTGCCAAAATGGACCATGAATTTGGTAGGGCCCTATTTATACATTAACACTGAGTTTCTTTCTCGTTCACTACATCCTTTCTAACTCTTAATCTGGTGTTGGAATTTGTCAGACTTCTTAATATGCTAAGTATTTGTGAAGAAAGGAGCAGCATTCTGGTAAGATTTTTGCCAGAAGAAAGATAGGGTGAGTTATTCGTAGGAATCCTACAAACAACTCTGATTTTTCAATACTGTTATTTTTGCAGTAAGTAAAACATGCTAGAAACCATTTGTAGTCTAGAATTTCAGATATAATTCAGTTAACTTTTTGTGTAGAGGTCTAATCCTGAACGTTCATAGTCAGTAGGCATGACACCTTCACATTGGGATAGTTGAAAGACGGTAATGCCTTGCCATTGGCTATCTTGGATGGCACATTAGGAAATCCACCTCGATACTCAAGACATGTGGATGAAGTTGAAGCTCCTGCCTTACCTGAATTTTAATTGTGGATTCATTAAAATTTTCAATAGGATATTTATCTTGAGTGCCAGTAGTTTCACACGTCTGACACATAGTAATGTGCTTTAAAATTGCATTTAGTGTTGGAAAGTCCAGGTTTCTGATATCAAGTAGTGGCTATCAATGCCAATCCAGTTTAATATCCAAAGAACCCTTCCTTTAGAAGATGATGCCATCAGGTAGATAAAAGTCTGTGTGTGTATTTGCATTCAGGAAAACTGACGTATTTTTATTTTGCCTTCCTGGATTATAATTCTCGAATTATCCATGTTCTAAAACTTCTACAGTATTTTCATTTCATCTTTTTGGTCCACTGTGTGACTTATTAGTGAAATTTGAAAGTCATTGAACTTTCAATTCCTGTGAGGTTTATGGTGATGTTCATTGGAATGTTTTTTATAGATACAGTACTAGTCTGTCAACACTTCTGTATTTGCTACTTGGTATCTTATTGTACAGTACTGATATTTTGATAATTCAGAAATGTTCAAATAAAAACGTCAATTTTAGTAATTTGCAAAGAATGTAATAACCGTGATTGGGCTAACATGCTGATATTTGAATCCGCTTGGAGCTTATATGAAATATGACAAACTTCATTATGCTCTGTACTAGACCAGTTTTCTTACCTAAAATGACGGCATTTTCCCTACACAAGAGATCCAGTTAGTTAAATTCACTTACAATACAGCTATAACTTGCATTTAATGTAATATCATGAAGTAAACTTATTTTTATTTCCTGAACATCTTCTCTTCCTCTCTCTGTCTAGGTGGTGGAATGGGTGGTATGAATAGTATGACTGGAGGAATGGGGATGGATCGTATGAGCTCCAGTTTTGATCGAATGGGACCAGCTATGGGAGCTGGCCTGGACAGGAATATTGATATGGATCGAGGATTTGTGGCTGGCCCGATGGGAAGTGGTGTGAGAGAGAGAGGTTCTAAAGGCAACCAGATATTTGTCAGAAATGTAAGCATGTGAATTTGAACAAACAGCTATTTTTTCCACTCTTGTGTCTGTATATATTATTAATACCTGTTTTCATTCTAGCTTCCATTTGACTTGACCTGGCAGAAGCTAAAAGAGAAATTCAGTCAGTGTGGTAAGTATATGGAAGGCTGCAAATATTGTCCTGCATAAGCCATAAAGTCAGAGTTTAACAAATGTCCAATCTACAAGGACAGTGGGATGTAGTTGTTGCCTAGGCAAAATGTTAACTAGCCTGAAAAGTAGTCTGGCCAGCCTTATCCTGCTCACATATGTTAATTTCTGGGAAAATTACTGTACTAAATTTACCCTTGCGACTTTAGATGTGTTTTACAGCTGGAGGCAGATTGTTTTTGTTCAGCTAGATGGGCCTAGTCTGTGTATTATCTGAGGGCTGTGGCTTATTAAAATGAATAAAAGCATTGTTGCTATATTGTTTGGCTTTGTGTATGGAAGACATGCAGGATTGCTGTGGATATTCAACATAGCATTGATTTATGCAGGTAATTCAGAAAGCCTTTATGGCCCTATTGCTAAAAATGCATGAATCATGGGGCTTAGATGTAAGAACAAACACCTTGTTTCCCCCTTTGAAAACTCACTTTCAGAACTCAAAACCTAATTGGCTTTTTTACTTTGTGGGGGGAGAGAGGAGGAAGAAATAATTCTCAGCATAGCACTGTCATCTGATATAATGAATAGACAGTCATAAACATTTGTGCTGTACAAATGTGATAGCAAATGTACATAGCTTTTGTCCAAGAAAATGAAGTTGCAGATATTCCTGCTTTTGACTTCATGCAAAGATGTTTATTGCTGGGATGTTATGGGTACATCTACACAGCAAAAAACAACACAAAAAACCTGACTTGGGCTGGCTCTACAGGGCTAAAAATAGTAGAGTAGACACTCCCGCTTGGGCTCTGAAACCTGTGGGGATAGGGGAACCTCAGGGCCTGGGCTCCAGCTTGAGTCGGAACATCTACACTGCTGTTTTTAGCCCTGTAGTGCAAGCCTGAGTCAGTTGACCCAGACTTTTAAGACTTGCTTCTACAGGGGCTGTGGGTTTTTTTTTTTCTCTCTGTAACCTCTGAGACTTGGCAGAAGTGCATAAGATAGTAAACTGTTTTCCAGTCTCTTGTGGCTATTTTTGTACCTAAACGTTCTTCCTCTGGGCTATCTTTTTTACTGTTTTACTGTTGTGCTTAGAACCCATAGTTATGGATAAGACCTCCATTGTACTTGGCGTTAAAAAAACACAAACCAAAAGATGGTCCCTGCCCCAAACACAAGTTCAGTAATAACCATTTTTTGCAATTGCTCTAATCTCAATAGCCACCTTCTTTTCATATGTAACCTTGGTAATGTTGCATCTTAAAATTTAGAAGAATTTTGTGAACATTGGAAGAATGTGGAATTAAAATGTGGAAAAATCTTTACAAGTCATTCTGCAGATATTAGTATAAAGGAGAAGCAGGGAGGGGAACTGAGGATATGTATGAAAACAAGATCTCTGTTTAAGGGCTGTCTAAATACAGGTTTTTTTGTACTGCGTTAGCTATATCGGTTTCTAAACCGATAATACTGGTACAACCGCCTAGTATAGCTGCAGTTATACAGTTATAAAGGTGCTTATACCAGAATAGTTTTTATTCATAAATTTACAGAAATAAGCTATACTGAAAAGCATCTTTACCTGTGCCCACAGCATCCCTGATTCTAAACGATGCAGTTTCTGTTCAGATTTAACTAGATGAGCCCTAGAAGTGCATCTGCTTCTCTTTGACAATCTTCACAGCAGCTAACGTAGTAATTCTTGAATGATTTTAAGAAAACAGTGATTAGTACAAATCAGCAAAATCTGTATATCCTGCAAATGTCATTAAGTGACTAAAAATAATATCTGTCTCTAAATGTTTCATCTCTTTCTGTGAAAAGTCAGTCTTATATTGAGTCTCTTAAAAATGAGGCCTACATTTTAGAGAGGCTTGTCTACTTGTGGTGGCTTGGCTGTATTATCATGGTTTAGCTAAAAGGATAGCTTGTTATGAAATGTCTTTCTTAAAACAGCCAGTTAATGACTAGTTTTCTGTCTTGGGTGCTTTTTGAAATCTTAAGTCTTCTAAAGAAGTGTATTCAGGATAAAGGAATGTCCATCCGTGAAAAATCAATTAATTCTTATTTCGATAATCACTCCAGTAACAGAACTTCCACTCCGTTTGATCTGTACTATGATTTTTACAGTAACGTGCACCTAGTAAGTAATCACTGTGTGATAGCTCAAATCGTGGCTGAAAGGGCCTCAAAACTGGTCTTATTCTAATGGGATTCTTCTGTTTGTGCAACTGAGCTCAATTAATTCAAGCAAAAGCATGTTTAATTCTATACTGGTTTCAGACAAGGACTGTTGCTGTTTGTGTGGACCGGGGAGTTTTCATACTCTGATTCTTGTCTGCTGTTTTAACACTTACTGAAAGGAAACATAAGTAAACACTACCTGAATGTATTGGAATAGCAACTTTTTTAATAAAAATGTAAAGCAGTTAATTGACACCTCAGATTGACCCAAAGATTCAACCTGCTGTAAAATGGATACAAACCTTATACTTGGTTAGCCCATTTGATGGTAGTATGTTTTCTAAAGTGTATTTTAACATCTAATCTTAGATGCCTCCTAAATTTTTTTTAAATGCCTTTCTACTTCAATCTGTCATTGGATATCTAACTTGGTAGTGCAATGTAGCCTTTATAGTAACTGCTGTTTAACTTATTTATTCAGGTCATGTAATGTTTGCTGAAATAAAAATGGAGAATGGAAAATCAAAAGGCTGTGGAACAGTCAGGTTTGACTCACCAGAATCTGCTGAAAAAGCCTGTAGAATAATGAACGGCATAAAAATCAGTGGCAGAGAAATTGATGTACGCTTGGATCGCAATGCATAATTTAAACTGTATTCAGGAACATTCCTATGTCTGTTTAGCTTCTATATCCTAGTAAGTCATTTTTAGTAACATTGTATGCTTACAAAAACCGTAAAAACAAACTTTTAAATCCCACCAGCCTTTAACAGTATAGTGTTTAATATACTGTGATTCTTGTTAACTAAATCTTACTATGTTTGGTTTTTAAGGACAGTTTGCCCGATTTTCAGAGGTACTGAACACCTGCAGTCCTCTTAAAGACATTTTAGAGAGGCTGTGGATGCTTGGCACCTCTGGAAAATTAGGCGAAGTGTCTCTAGTCATTCAGTTTAAATGAATGGTTATACTGTTTTTAATAAAATAAGCCATTTTCTCTGTTCTCAAGATTGCATAGTGGGATTTGTTTAGTGTTTCAGATTCCCCCAGCTTGTATCAACATTGTAATGTAAAAAATTAGATGTCCTTTCCAGAATTTTGGTTTTATATATGCATTGTAGTCACACTGTAATTCTTGACTCTAAAAGAAAGGGCTCCAATTAGGCTGTGATGTTGTTTTATTTTTAAGATTACTTTTATGCCATGATTTAGAACTTCTGTAAATAAGTTTTAGAGCCCAAAGGGAGTTTTGGATTTTTTTTATTTGACTAAATGAAGAAATTGATCCTCTCTCATTGTTTTGTGTCTTCCTCAGTACAGTCACTGGCTAAAACTTGCCACCACAGACCTTTACAGGATTGTTCCCTATGATCCCAAGTTCATATAAAATTGACAATACAGCAAATGCTAAGTACATTACTAGACAGACTGCTCCCAGTTTCTTATCTAACTTCCAGCCATTTAGGTGAACTGCCAGAAAAATAAAAATAATGGAACAAATAAGAGAAATAGCTGTGTAAGTCAAACCACTGCTATTCACTTCCACGGGTGCTGATGTATCTATGAAGGCAGTTTTTATAAACCAAGGTACTCCCAAACACAGCATATCGAATACATTGGATCCTACAATGTTAGACATAGCCATATCTCCTTTCCCTGCAAAACAAAAAACACCAAGTGTCCATTCATTTTTATTGTACTGTAGAAAGAATTTTCTAAGCATCTCCCTAAACTATGAGCACCTACATTGAGATCACTTGATAAAGTGAACTATATACTACGGGCCTAAAATCAATCCTGTTGGAACACAATTAAACTTGCAGTTTTATAGCAATCAAACTTTTCCAAACCCTTTCCTTCCCCCCCTCCCTTTTAAATTTTGGAAGGCTAAGCTACAATTGACTTTAAGTGAACTTCAGTATTTAATACTAATGAATTTTGTTTTAGGCAAACAGTAGCAGCTTTATGATTTGCTCTGACCCTTTCAGATATATTGTGTGTGTTGAGACCTCTCTGCCCTAGCTCCGAAAACAAGTTCTTAATTGAGTGAGCATGAATGCTGAAATTCTTACCTTTCCTAGCCACCAGTACACTTGCAACTGTGTCTGGTATGCTTGTCCCTGCTGCTAGTAATGTAAGACCCATTACTGTTTCTGGAATTGCCAGCGTATCACCTGTAGTGAATAAACAAGGATACTGAGTAACAACACGTTTCGTAGCTGAAGTCTGGCCTGAGGAATCTGGTATGGATCTGTGCTTACCAGAGAAAGAAAGGATTGGTATTTGTATGCTAATTCCAAAAGGAATCTGTGGGAGCCAGTAATTCAGGATAGCTTAACTTTATTTACTGAAATCTTACACTGACTTTTTTCTTAACTAGTCAGTGGTTATTTACTAATGGAACAAGCACCTATCAGTAACATGATGTGGAATTTGTTTTCAGCTTTGAAAATAAATATGCCCACTCAGCTAGAGGTAGAAGGCTATTACTGACTTCCTGCAGATACAGTACAAGTTTGAGGTTTGACCATTGACACTTTTTGAACTGCTGAAAATAGACTAATCCCTTGTGTTCTTTTGGCATTTTATCACATGAGTTCTGGAAGTCACATGAAGCAGTAACCTCTTTAATCATTCACTCTTGAAAAAAGCACATGAACTCCCTGGGGAGACATATGAAAAGACTTTAAATAATCCTTACTACTGTACTGTCCAAATTCATTGCTGTGAAACTTCACTTCAGTCAAAAAAATGTAACTTTCCAAGTCTTAGTAGTCATACTTAGCAAAATGCTAAGTAAAATATAATTGCAACACTTCTACTTATTTAGAAGCCTGCGTTTCCCACCGGTAAATACTAGTTTTCTCACATTAACTTCAGTAGCAGTACACTATTTTCTTCCCTGCTAGCAGCCATTAATACTTTGAAAATGGATTAACTTCTCTTCATCTTTGTGCTTCAGTTGCTTACCTAAAATTTAAAGCTAGAACTACTTAACTTGGATTTGAATTTATCTTTTGGGGCTAACCTTGAGCAGCCTTTAGTTTTGATTTTATCGTTAAGCAGGTGTTGTCTCCATTTGTTTCCCCTAATGCAGTATTCATAAAACTTTGGGAGAAAGTTTGAAGGATTTGATCTCTGTTTAAACTTTTAACTTGTTTTTTAAAGGCTAATTTAATTCACTTTACTGAAAAGTGTATTGTCTACCTCTACATTTTTTTTTGTAGTGGGCCTTTCATCCACAATAGTAAGGGTTTTGACAAACAGTAATAAGCAATTTTGTTAGAACAAATTATGCAGTGGATTGTCTGTAAATTTAGGTGTGCTGTAGTTGCATGCCAGATACCAGCTTAGGTCAGTTAGAGGCAAAACTTAAAAATAGGGAATCTAAATCTGCTGCTTCTCTGTTAGAAGTGATTGAAAATTATTCTGATCTGGGATTTGTAATGATCCAAAGCCTCCTTCCCCAGATTAGGGGATTAGTGTAGGAAGAAAGTCATCTTGTAAACCAAGACTAAAAAGTAATGGGCGTGACAAGGGAGAGCTGAAGCATGAATCTCTTAGCCTATGGCACAAAGTGCTAGATTCTTGCCCTAGAAGGTAAGATTGGAACCTAAACGGAAGTAGGTCTGATCTCTTTCCTCACTACATAGTTTTATCAGCTTCTAGTTGAAGTGCAGTTCTAGTCTGGTAAGTGACAATGTAAAGATGGGACTAATACAGGGGTGGGCAAACTACTGTCCGGGGGGCCACATCCGGCCCTTCAGATGATTTAATCCAGCACTTGAGCTGGGACTTGCCCTGCTGCGCGCATGCCATGGCTCCCGGAAACAGCGGCATTTCCCCTCCAACTCCTAAGTGTAGAGGCAGCCAGGGGGCTCCACATGCTGCCCCTGCCCCAAGCACCACCCCCACAGCTCCTGTTGGCCAGGAACCACGGCTAATGGGAGCTGCAGGGGCATTACCTACAGACGGGGCAGCACGCAGAGCCTCCTGGCTGTACCTCCACGTAGGAGCCAGAGGAAGACATGCCGCTGCTTCTGGGAGCTGCTTGAGGTAAGCGCCGCCTGGAGCCTGCACCCCAACCTCCTACCGTAGCCTTGATCCCCCTCCTGCCCTTTGAGCCCCTCAGTCCCAGCCCAGAGCACCCTCCTGCACCCCCAACCCCTCATCCCCAGTCCCAGCCCAGAGCCCTCACCCCTCCCACACACACCTCCCAACCACTCCCCCACCCTGAACTCCTCACTTCTGGCCCTACCCCAGAGCCCTCACCCTCTCCCGCACCCTAACCCCCAATTTTGTGAGCATTCATGGCCTGCCATACAATTTCCATACTCAGATGTGGCCCTCGGGCCAAAAAGTTTGCCCACCCCTGGACTAATACATACTAATAGGGAATGTGAACATAAGAATGGCCATACTGGGTCAGACCAAAGGTCCATCTTGCCCAGCATCCTGTCTTCCGACAGTGGCCAATGCCAGGTGCCCTCAAGGGAATGAACAGAACAGGTAATCAAGTGATTCAGCCCATTGCCCATTCTCAGCTTCTGGCAAACAGGCTAGGTATACCATCCCTGCCCATCATGGCTAATAGCCATTGATAGACCTATCCTCCATGAATTTATCAAATGTTTGTTTGTTTTTTTGCTAGATTCTATTCTTTGTATGCACCAGAATTAAGTTCCAGTATGCTAAACCTGTACAAACCCCGTGAAGTCCAGGGGTAGGATAGGTATTAGTGCATTACCTTTTACAAAAACTGATTTATGAAAAGAAAAGAACCCAGGATGAATATGTAGGGCTATCTAAAGCTTTATCTTGTAGACAGAACAAACACAGTTTGAAGTCAGTGAGACACAGACCCCCCCTTCCAATAGCACTTTTAATCACTTTTCAAAGTAGACCAACACTCCACCCTGTTTGAAACCTTGGCATATCCACTTTCACATTGTCATGGCTCTAACTAGCAGATCAGCAATAGCTCTCACCTGCAACATGGGAAAGATTGTCAAAGATTCGTAGCTCACTACAGTAAGTTACCGCTGTAGCTCACGAAAGCTCATGCTCAAATAAATTGGTTAGTCTCTAAGGTGCCACAAGTACTCCTTTTCTTTTTGCTTTTACCTAATTATGAGTAGGATGTGTTTTATAAACAATGAGAGAATGTAGTAGGTGCTGAATTACCTCTATCAGTACACTAGACCACTTGACAGCTAGTTATTTACTTTTGGTTGTATCAAACTACACAAGCCTCTGTTGGCAGGATTGTTTTTCCTTAAGACATTCAATTAGACTGAATTCAAAACAAACTTAGTTGTGAATTAGTAGACTACATAGGCAGACTTAAAGGAGCTACAAAGGAGAAATGCAAGGGTTGTAACTTCCCCCTTCCCCTTTGCTTTTTGAGATGTAAAGCTTGAAAGGCTTGTCGGTTTTTGGTTTGTTCTTAAAATTTGAAATTTCATGTCTACCCTGAAAGCTATGACTAGAGAACTAGTCAAGTTATGCCATGTGACTGAAAGTTTGAGCAACTGAAAGGGGGAAAACAGTCTAGTCAGCATTCAGAAACATTTTTTTGCTTTTACACCTATTTAACTCCAATTGCTAAAACTCTGAGGAGACAGGATGACTTCATTAGATACTTAACACTTCTGCCCCTTCACTTAAGATGTGAGTTCATGAGACTGACAGAGTACTCTAGTTTTCCCTAGTTTGCTAGACACACATGATTTTTAAAGGTTTAAATCTCTCTCTCTCACACACACACACTTCAAGCCTCCCCATCAAAGCAGCAAAAAAGGAAAACCTGAAACTTGTTAAAACCCTTTACTTGTTGCTAAAGGTACTAAAATCAATTCATTTCTTTAAATGACCATTATTGATCATAGCCTCCTAATTGATGCTTGCAAGGAAATGATATTTAAAGTTTAGTGATAATTGCTCTTGTATGGTTTCAGAGTAGCAGCTGTGTTAGTCTGTATTCGCAAAAAGAAAAGGAGTACTTGTGGCACCTTAGACTAACAAATTTATTTGAGCATAAGCTTTCGTGAGCTACAGCTCACTTCATTGTATGAGAGGAACTGAACTTTTATCTCCAGTCTTGGCAGATAAATTTGGTAACTTTGATACCTGCTTGGTAAATCAGTTTAAAATAATGCTATACCTGTAATGCTGTTTATGATCTTAACGTTAGGTAGAACAAATCCATAATTTTCTGAACAATTTGAGCAATGAAGTTGTAAATATTTTTCTCAAATGCATTCATTGTTACATAGCCACATGAGTAGATGCCCATCACCTAGATTGGGAAGGCTGATGGTGCAGCCCAATGGTACAGCCAAGCTCAATTTCCAGAAAATATTCTTCTAGGGAAATATCAGACCAAGAAAGAAAGTTAACTATGAAAACGTCTCAATGCAGTCTTTAGGTAGTTCTGAACTAGCCCTTTTCAAAGCAATAACAGTTGATTTATCTTGTTAACCACTCTTTTTGGGCAGTAGGTGGGGGAGAAACTTGAGCTATGAACATGCAGTCTGAGGCTAAGCTTTTTCAGAAGAGTACAGAATTAAGATCTAACCCTCCCCCGTTGTGAAAAATCATTCATTCCTCAGTGATTGAGTCAGTTGACATGATATAGCAGCAAGTAAAGTACATACCAACTATTGTTACCATCCATACAAGGACATATGTAAATGCAGAAATCCACACAGCTGACATGAAAAATGTCACCATGAACCAGTTTTTCCAAAACTGTCTTCTGCAGTCTGGTATGGTCAAATAGAGTAGTGTAATAATAGGAAGAGATAACACCCAGAGAATTCTTTTTAAATCTGCTTCAGGGATAGTGAAGACACTTGGAGGATCTGTTGGAGATTAAAAGGTAAACCATTTTAAACTATCCCTGTAATGAGGCTATGTTTGTGTATAATCTGATAACCTGACTTTACTTGTAAAAACGATGGGCAAAAGCATACAAAAATACAATCTCAAACAAGATTTCCCTTTCTTTCGTCACTAGGAAAAGCCACCTGAGTTATTCTGCTTACTTAAGTAACCTGAGCTTCTTTGTAATGGGTTTGTTTGGTGCTTTCTTACTGAGTAACTAGGTGCCTAAGTGAAGTTTTTCCATAGGTACCTGATTAGTCATATCAGGGCTGTCACTTTCTTAAATTCCTGCCTCAGAAGCGTTAATCAGATCCATACTATAGCACATCTTTTGGGGCTATAATTAACTGCCTGTTTCACAGAACACCAGTATCACGCAGTTAGTGCAAGTGGCAGTTATATCAAATGGAAGACCTATCAGCTGAGCTGTTGAGAAGTTTCAAATATGAACTTCAAAGAATCTCAAGGAAAGTTACTCTACCCATCAATCATAGTTCTTCTGCTGTGGCTCAAATGAATGACTGCTCTGGCATTCTTCCAGTGGATAACTTTATATAACCAGCTCTGTGTTTTGATTTTGCTAAAGGTCAGATTCCAAGAAGGAATAGTAGTGTATTACACTCAACTAGAGTTCTTTCATGGTCTAAACCATTTGAAATTAGTCTTACAATTTACTCAACCCCCACTCCCATAATTAGAAACACACGTAGACTGGTAGAGGCTGTATTAATACCTTCAGAAATTTCATCAAGCCCAAGTAAACTTATAGAAAGCTGTGAGTAGTCTGATTCGTCATGAAAAATTCCACTATCAGTTCTTGATTGTCGACAAATTAGTGGTTCACATTCTTCCTTCCAGCCAATTAATGGCTGCTGTTCAGTGTTTTCTTCCATAGCTTTTGCAAAACAAGTACAGCAGGGACTAAACTTCTTCATAATATATTGATTGATTTTAATATCAAAACACAGCACCAGAATATATAACCCATAAATCAGCAGCAGGGAAGCACCTTCATACCTAGAATAAAAATTGGATTTTACATAAAAATCCAACTCATTTTTATCTTCAGTTATTTTAAAAAGAAATTGATGTTTAAAAAAGCTGTTTTAGCTTAGTAATACTTAAGTGACTGCCCACTGAGGAGATAATTAATTGGCTTTGGCAGCAGAAGGAAAATAAGTGGAAACAATTAAACATATTTCCCCAATGCAGATTATCAAAGATTTCTGGTTTACCAGGACACACGTTATGTATAGATACCGTATTGGAGACTGTTTCTCCTTATTTTACAGCTATTTGATTAACAGAAGACAGCCCCAGTCCCACAAACACTTATCTGCGACAGTATTCTGTAGTCTTATGGAACTACTCATGCGTAAACATTTGCAAGATTGAATCCTATTATGTTAATCAACAGAAGGCATGGTCTGAGCTCTGCTTAGAAGCCAGGAACTTCAGAGTTCTATTCCTGGGTTTAGCTAATTTGCTGAAGGCTACACAGAGGAACTTATTTGTAAAGAAGAGAAACTAATCCAAATCTCTTCTGGAACAAATGGGTGCAACTCCATTGACTTAAATAGAGTGTCGCCCCTTTATATTAGAACTGAACCCACAATTTGTAAACTCAGCTCACAAGGATGTTGAGGATTTTAATAGTCTTTGAAGATAAAAATGCCAAATGAGTGCAATGTATTTAATAATGAACATGGAATAATGACAGCTGGTAGGTGCTTCCATTACCCAGTTAAAGAAAAACCTAAAAATTCAGCTCTCACGCATATTGCAGGCTAATTTCTGTGGGAAAGAAGAAAAGTGGAGGCTGAATGGTTCAGGAAATTGGTAATTAAAGACTAAAGCCTCTCCTCATAGGTTCAAAGCCAATTAAGGTCAATATTGACTGAAAATAGTTACCATCTGATAGTTCAGCAGTTCATATGAGTTACTCAGTCCATTTGATAATGGACAACTATCTCAAGTCAGGTGCACAAAAGAGAGGTTAACAAAGGAATAGACTATGAAGACTAATGGTTGTGCAAGAGAGAGGACACCAGAACAGGTTTGAAGTTCAGTGCAAGGAAGCCTATGCTGGTTGAGATTTATAAGCAGGAACTCACAGAATGGTTAATGCAACAGCCTTCATGAACACTGAATTCAATATACAATTCTTAAAGCCAACAAGATATTCATATTTGTCAATGTACTATACAATGAACTTCAGATTGGGATACTTGAGGTTAATGCTTGATGAAAAAGTGACAAAATAAACTTTGATTTTTACACTCACTAATTTCCAGTCAACATGAATTTAACACAAATTGTGCACTTACCAGTAAATTCTGCTGTCAAATATCATTGCAAGGACTGCTGCGGCACTAATTGCATATGCCAAACAGTCTCTAAACAGTGGCCAACAAGACAGCCTCGAAACCTGCAGGACACAAATTACTTTTTCAAATCTGTTGTAGTTCTTTCACCAGCTACTGTACATGCTGCCTTAACGTTTCTGTATTGATATGTGACTAACTTGGTTCTTAGGAAATGATTTAAATATAGTAACTCAAAAGTAATTTAAAAAAAATCTTTTTGGGGAGTTATCTGCTGATTGATTACATGCCGTTTTGCTACTGAGTAATAAATTGAACTATTATCATACTAAACTTGCTTGGACTTTTGTCAGTAAACCATAGGAAGTTACCATCATTTGGCTCTAAAGAGAGCCAAATTATATCCGTGTTTTACGTACCACACTAGATAACAACCCACAAGCTGCACAGATACCGAGAAGGTTATAGATTGCAGATCCAAGGATGGTGCTAACTCCAATGTCTCCCTTTGTCACGAATACCCCTGTAAGCAAAACAGTGTTTAACATAGTTAATTTCCGCTTTTTAGTTTTTTTGGGCGGATGGGAGATTATATATTCAGAATTGTTAAACAATTGTTCGTTTTACCTAGAAAAGCAGTGACCAATTCAGGAGCAGAGCTACCAGCTGCCATAAAAGTTGCTCCAGCAACATCCTGAGACAGGTCAAGGGCTGAAGATGGAATAAAATACTTACTATTAAACAAAAGTTACACCTCTAATCTACACACACTACTTACAACTAATGTGTAAAAAGTAGCTCCTTATATTCTTCGCAGAAGAAAATTCATTTATTGGTTACAGAATAAGCTATAACACAGATGCTTGGAGACTTTTGTTTGAATGTCAGGAAGACAACTGTTCAAGAACTTCATTTATAAACTTTTCTAAAGACTGGTGCATAGGTTTTAAGTGTTGAAATAGTTTTTGCTCTAATATAAGTGCACAAGATTTATAAACGTGTAGGATTGGGACCTTTATTTGTGGGTGAAAAATGTAAAGTCAGATTTAAATCCAAGTTCATTGATGTTCTAGATGTTACTTGTTTGTATCTACTGTTGTGAGGAAAATACACTCCTCAAGTCAAGCATCAGCAACTCAGTGAAGCATAAAACTGACAATTAGTTCCTGCTTCACTTACTTGCTGAATCCATTTGTAAAATGGGTATAGTACTACTTGCTTCATGGATATATTGTGTAAGGCTTAAGCCACGTCTACACTAGTAAGTTTACAGCGGCACGGCTGTACCGCTGCAGCTGCGCTGCTGCAAGATCACTTGTGTAGCCATTTTATGCGAACGGCAGAGAGTTCTCCCATCCACATAATAAAACCACCTCCACACACAGTGGTAGCTATACCAGCAGGAGACGCTCTCCTGCCAACATAGTGGTGTGCACACTAGCACTTATGCGAGTGAAATGTATCTCCTCGGGGGTGTTATTTTTCACATCCCTGAATGACGTAAAAATTTTGCTGATATAAGTGGTAGTGTAGACATGGCCTTAGTTAAGCAGCTTAAGATTCCTTTAAGCATAACAAAACACGAAGTTACCAGCCCACTCAGGATTGGGCATTTTATGCAGCAATTGTCTCTCTTAATGAATGGGTTTTGGTTTTAATCGTATGGGGATGAAGGAAACTTTAGGGCTAAGTTTACCACTAGCTTTTATGGCAAAACTCCCATTGTTTCCACTAGCACATACATTTGGTAGAAGAGGTCACCACTGTTCCTTAACATTGTGTCCTTATGCTCTTGGAAATTGTCAGGTTATTTATTAGGTAAATTATTTATGATTCTAACAAGTTAACAACTTTGTTCCCCCCACTACTTAAACTGATTTTAAGTAAGATATTTCTAATGCACCCAGCATCTTACTATATAGGCACTTAGCTAGGAGATATCTACTGTAGATAGAGAGAAAGCAAATGTGTGTACCTGCCCTTCTGTCCTGCTGCATGTGGGATGATAGAGCCAGCAGGGAGTGTTGATCATCTAGCCTGAAACACCAGTCTTAGGACTTCCCTGAATTAATTCCTGCTTCAACTAGAGGAAACCTTTTAGAAAAAATCCAATCTAGATTTAAAAACTTCTAGTGATGGAGATTCCCCTACAGCTCTGGGTAAATTGTTCCAGTGGTTAATTACCTTATTACAATGTGCGCCTTTATTTAGAGTCTGAATTTGTCTAAGATATTGTTACACTTGTTACATTGAAGAACACGGTATTACACATTTTTGTTCCCCATGTAGATACTTGGATTGTTAGCAAATCACCCTATAACCACCAATTTGATCAAACTAAATATATTGAATTTCTTGACTCTTTCACTATAAGGATAGGTTTCAGAGTAACAGCCGTGTTAGTCTGTATTCGCAAAAAGAAAAGGAGTACTTGTGGCACCTTAGAGACTAACCAATTTATTTGAGCATAAGCTTTTGTGAGGTACAGCTCACTTCATCGGATGCATACAAGGCAGTTTCCACAGTATGCATCCGATGAAGTGAGCTGTACCTCACAAAAGCTTATGCTCAAATAAATTGGTTAGTCTCTAAGGTGCCACAAGTACTCCTTTTCTTTTCACTATAAGGAATGTTTTCTAATCCTTTAATCATTCTGGGGCTGTTTTCTGAACACTCCAGTTTATCAACATGATCTATACAAGAGGAATCCCATTGGTACTAGTGTGTTTTGTTAGCTTTTCCCAGGACACTGGTTCCTGCAGAAAAGTTTATCTGCCTTAGTCTAGAACATCTGGTACTTTCATTTTTAAAATCACTTTAAAGTTAATCACTTTATTTAAAATATTTTCTTTTTGGTGTTAAGCCTGGATGTCAATATTACATCTCCTACACTCCTGTAGTTTAGCAGCCAGAAGCCCACTTTCCCTGTACATTGTTTCCCAACTAAGCTAAATATTGAACATCGAACTTTCTGCCCTTATTTCTAAGTTGCATTCATGTTGTGAAACTCTGCCAAGAGAATAATCTTGCCAATAGCTGTTCAATTTTACAGAAATCATTACTAGGACTTAAAAAATAACTTACATTCACTAATGATCTCTAGAGAAGGAAGGAAGTAATCATCACACACAATGGATACAGCCATAAACATGTAAAGGATAATTATGAAATAGATAATGATCCCCCCATCTTCTCTCTCCTGTTGTGTAAAAAATGCGTCAGGAAATTCCGATGAGGAAGAGGGAATACATTGTGTTTTATTTTCTGAAAAGAGAATACAAAGGTCTTGTGCATATTATCAAACATAGTCGTCTCCCCCAGCTACAAAAGTTTTGAGGATGTCTTCAATGGAATTCTGGCTAGGTGGAACGTAGGAACTCATTTTAAATGATTTGTTCTTAATTTTTGGAATCCCCAGACAGAGAACTGTTGCGATACACGTAATGGTATATATTGTCAATGTTTCACTCCTGCACACAACTCGGTGCAACCTGCACTGAGGAAAGCCAGCAACCCAAACTTGTTTCCAACCCTTTGTCTAATGAGCCTTTGACACACATCCCTTTCTAGAGCAACCAATGTTCAGGTATCCCGAGGTTTCCAGTACAACTCTGACGTCCAGATAAGACTCCAGAGAGGCAAAAAAACTGGGGTGGGTGCCATGTATTGCCCCTGGAAGGTTTGCTTAAACTTAGACATTTTCCAACCACATACAGGTCAGGCTGGAGTTATTCCGGCAAAAGAAATAAACGGCTCCCTTCCAACCGCGGGGGAGGAAAACAGCCAGCGAAGGAGAGGGAGAAAACTTAGGCCCCTACTGAAATAGTTGAACAAATTTGCCTTTCTTAGCAACTATAGTGTGACAAGAAAGACCCCAAGCTCTTTCCAACGCTTCCCCCCCCGGGCACTGTGTGCCTCACCGATTGAGTAGCTGAAAAGCCCCCGTAAACCAAGCGGCCCATGCGAGGGCTAGTCGTGGGGCTACTGCGCTTTTCCCACCCAGCGCCCCTTTCCTGCGGAGCGGAGCCGCTCCCGAGGTGTGAACGCAGCCGGCTGACACTCCGCGCCCCCAGCCTACCTGTGTCCCCGCGGAGCCGCTGGGCGGCAGCGCCCCTGCGAGGAAGGTGAAAGGCGGCCAGAGCCCCCAGGAGCAGCAGGACGGAGGCTGCCCGGCCTCCTCTTGCCCGGTGCCTCCAGCCCTGGCCGCAGCCTCCCTTCATCGCGCCGGCCTCAACCTCGCACTGAGCCGCCGGGGAGGCGCAGAGGGGATTAGGGGCCGGCGGGATCATGTGAGGGGGCGGTTTTGGCCGCTTCCCCTGGGCGCGCAGCGGCGCGGAGGCAGGGGGTGAGGAGCTCGCCTCCTGCTGCAGCTCCGGCCCCGAAGCCGCCCGACCCGGGCTCGCTCTCCCGGCTGCTGGCGCCCCGGACCTCAGGCTGCCCGTCCGGGGCCGAGCGGGAGGCGCACCACGCTGGGGTGCCGCTGGGAGGTGCGGCTGAGTTTCGGGGCCTCGCTAGTCCCGCGGGGTGGCTGCTCCTCGCCCCACGGTTCGGCAAGGAGCCAGGACTCGGGCTGGAGTCCCCTTAGCCCAGGCTGCGGCTGCCAGCGGTAGATACAAGCCATAGCTAGGGCTCCCCTCCGCCCCCATCGCCAAGCTCCCCCCGCTTCTCCCAGGAATTGCCCCCACCGGCGCAGGGCCGAGCCCGCTCGCTGAAGGGCGCCAGGCACCAAGAGCCGCCCACAGGCAGCCCTGAAGTTCTGGGGGAGGCGCGGATCTCCCAACGGCTTCCGGGCCCCTGTGCTCAGGCAGGACCCAGGTACAAAGCTCTGTCCAGTTGCAGACTGGAGGCGTAAGCCGTTATTACTAACTGCCCTTCGTTTCTGCAACTGTGGAGAAAGCATGTGACATGTTGGCACCACCAGTGTTGCGCTGGTGCAAGCTGCTGAGGCTGTGTAAATGTTGGGATGGGACGGAGATTTAGTGTAAGCTGCTCTCCTTCGAATATGACTCTCTTCCTTGCACAACTACTACAGCCTCCGCTTAGTCCCGTTGGGTTGTGCCAGAGTTCCCACGCTGGGTGAGGCCAGTACCAGGTTTGTGGGGAAGAAGACTTCTATACCCGTCAGGTGAATTATTCAGCAAGAGTCACAGTGAGATCAAGCGCACAGGCCCCTGCTTCAGAGCCTGGAACCCAAACTTGTTTCCAACCCTTTGTCCAATGATGTTTCAACATTGAAATCAGGTGTGTAACTGAAGATGAAATACAAAGCTTTCTTGCTTAAAAATGTATTTTAGTAGGTCCCACAAAACTATTATTTTCCAAAGGAAAAGCTATGAGTTAGGTTTCTATTGAATCAATTTCTAAACTTAGTTTCCATAAATGTTTACTGTCCAATTATGTGAAATGACATTGTAAAGTGCCAATATTGTAACTAGCCATTTTGTAGGAGCAGGGCTAATGCTCAGGCACATTTAGATATTTGGTCTTATTTCTCTTGCCAATTGAAAAACATTATTTTGCGTCATTACATCCTAATCCTTTAAGTGTATTGTTCCTTATTCCCATGCTGTTTTAGCTAATGCATGATCAACCACCATGCAGTATGTACAAGATGTGATGGGGTTTAGTAACTCCATGGCAAAAGTGCGGCAAGGTGATTTTTTCCCCCTTTTTGTAATAAAAGATTGTGTCTACAAAAAGTCATTAGGACCGGGTAGAGACTGGCAATTAAAAAAAATCTATTCTGAACCAGCTCAGTCAGCCATAATAGCTGTATCAATCTCCAGCACCTCTTTGTCTCAATATTAAAAACAGTGTGATTGTTCTCTCCCAGAATATTATAAGGGCCAAGGTTTCAAAAGTGGTTTGGGTGCTTAACCTGAGACATTTTTAAAGGGTGGGTGCTCAGTGCCTTCAGAAAATCAGCCACTGTAAGGTGTGTCAAGTTGGGAACCCAAAATTACTCGCTAATTTTGAAAATCTTGGCAAAAGCTTTACACTGTTCCTCAGACATTCTTGTCAACTGCTGGAAATGGCCCACCTTGATTATCACTACAAAAGGCCCCCCCCTCCCCCCCCCCCCCCGCTCTCCTGCTGGTAATAGCTCACCTTAAGTGATCACTCTCATTACAGTGTGTATAGTTACACCCATTGTTTCATGTTCTCTATGTATATAAGTCTCCCCACTGTATTTTCCACTGAATGCATCCGATGAAGTGAGCTGTAGCTCACGAAAGCTTATGCTCAAATAAATTTGTTAGTCTCTAAGATGCCACAAGTACTCCTTTTCTTTTTGCGAATACAGACTAACCTGGCTGCTGCTCTGAAAACTGTTTCTCCTGTTTCTCTGACAGGAAGAGCGAAAACCAGGGGGTGGAGATGGAAATCATCTTGGCCCTGCTAGATTTATCTATAAGGAAACTTAAATCCATATTCTTCTGATTCCTGTTTTTCACTATGGGTGCACTTTTACTAGAGACAAACAGAGGAGGACTTTCTGGAGCTCTTTCTAGTCACTGTTTAAATTATCTAATTTCCTGCTTCCTCTATGTAGGTCAATAAAGGGGGTCTTCCTACACAAGGTCTCTAGCACCATCCCCTGGATCTCTTCCATAAAGATTGCCCACCCATTACTAAATTAATACTGTAATGCAGCATTCTAGTATCCAGTGTGTTTAAAGAGGATCTTTTCAATTCAGGGTTTTTTTTATGGTATTTGTCTTTTATTGGTTGAAATGACATTTGCAGCTCTGATTGAAATGCATGCTCTAACTGGAACAGATCAGCAATTCTTCTTAGAGTGATTGCTCATATCGATTCCAATTAGGTGCATGTGCGCCACGTGCACAGTTGTCGGAAAGTTTTTCCCCTAGCTGCACCCGTCGGGTTGGCTGTGGAGCCCCTTGGAATGGTGCCTCCATAGTGCTCTATATATGACCCTGCCGACCCGGCACTTCCTCAGTTCTTTCTTGCCGCCAGTGACGGTCGTTGTAACTGTGGCATCTTGCTCAGCAAGCTCTCCACGTTTCCCTAGCTTCTATCTACATTAGTGTTTGTCTTCCTTAGTAAGTTTAGTTAGTTATTAGTGTTGTGTTAATAGTTTGCTGTTGGGAGTGGGGGGTTCCCCTCCAACCCAACTGTGTTCTTCCTGGGGACTCAGGGCATGCCTAAGTCCCAGGGGTCCAAACCCTGCAAGTCCTGCAAAAAGCCTATGCCAATGGGCGACCCCCATGACGCTTGCTTAAAGTGTCTGGGGGAAATGCATCAGGCAGATAAATGCAGGATTTGCAAAGAGTTTCGCCTGAGAATGAAAAAAGGAGTGGGACTTTAGACTGAAGCAGCTCCTTATGGAGGCGGCACTTAGACTGTGTCATAAATATAAAGGGAAGGGTAACCACCTCTCTGCGTACAGTGCTGTAAAATCCCTCCTGGCCAGAGACAAAACCCTTTCACCTGTAAAGGGTTAAGAAGCTAAGGTAACCTCACTGGCACCTGACCCAAAATGACCAATGAGGGGACAAAGTCAAATCTGCAGGGAGGGGAACAAAGGGTTCTGTCTGTCTGTGTGATGCTTTTGCCGGGAACAGATCCGAAACGCAAGCCTTCCAACTCCTGTTAAGTTAGTAAGTAATCTAGTTAGAAAATGCGTTCGATTTTCTTTTGTTTAATGGCTGGTAAAATAAGCTGTGCTGGAGAGAATGTATATTCCTGTTTTTGTGTCTTTTTGTTACGTAAGGTTTTGCCTGGAGGGATTCTCTATGTTTTGAATACCCTGTAAGGTATTTACCATCCTGATTTTACAGAGGTGATTCTTTTACCTTTTCTTTAATTAAAATCCTTCTTTTAAGAACCTGATTGATTTTTCATTGTTCTTAAGATCCAAGGGTTTGGGTCCGTGTTCACCTGTATCAATTGGTGAGGATTATTATCAAGCCTTCCCCAGGAAAGGGGGTGTAGGGCTTGGGGGGATATTTTGAGGGAAGACGTCTCCAAGTGGTCTCTTTCCCTTTTCTTTGTTTAAAACGCTTGGTGGTGGAAGCATACTGTTCAAGGACAAGGCAAAGTTTGTACCTTGGGGAAGTTTTTAACCTAAGCTGGTAAGAATAAGCTTAGGGGGTCTTTCATGCAGGTCCCCACATCTTTACCCTAGAGTTCAGAATGGGGAAGGAACTTTGACAGACCGCAATCAGCACAGGCGCAGCAGGACCTGGCATCGGTGTGTAATGCCCCAGCAGCGGTAACGGAAATGGCACCGCAGAAGGACTCTGGACGAGACCCGCTGCACCACTGCTCTCTGGTGCGGAAACAGTCGGAGACGACTCAGCACCGGTCCCATTCTCTCGGGCAGAAGCAGCAATGAAACAAGGTACTGGAAACCTCGACTTTGGGTCCCACCCCCTCGGAACTGGCCAGTGGGGCGTGTCTCAGGGAGGAGCCCCCGTGCTGAAAACTTTGGAGCCGGCACTGTTGACTTCAGTCCCGCAAGGAGGGCTGTTGTGTCTGGTGCAATTGGACTCACCGTGTCCAAGGTGCAACTGCCTTCCATCCCAGACACATTTGAGGCTGCGAGAAACCTCATAGATATGACGGCACCACGATCCCTGGCCCTTCACGCCAAGCCTCTGATGCCACAGCGTTTGGCACTGTCCCGTGGAAAACCGGCAATGCTCCGCCCCTTGGTGCCGCCACCAGAGGCAAGACACCGCTACTGCAAGGGGTTGTCTACATCTCCTTGGCCACATGGCAGCCTGCACTTAGTTGATTCTGCATGCCAGGCTGAGGCTCAGACCCCTGCACGTGTGGCTTGCATCGGCCTATCAGTTGGAACACGACAACCTGGACATAGTTGTGACGGTACCAGAACAACTGTCAATGGTGGCTCGACCCTTGGAAGGTGTGCGAAGAAGTCCCCTTCAACAGCCCCCAGCCCTCCTTGTCCCTGGTAATGGACTTGTCAGCTCTGGGTTGGGGTGTGCATTTGGGATATCTAGAAATGCAGGGCCTATGGTCTCAGGACAAGCTCTCCCTTCATATCAACATCAAAGAGCTCAGGGCGGTATGTGTAGCATGCCAAACTTTTTGGGCTCGGCTGCAAGGCCAGTGCGTGGCAGTGAGGATGGACAACACCACTGCCATGTTTAACATCAGCAAGCAGGGTGGAACCCGCTCCCCTGTATTGAGAAGCCCTCAGGCTCTGGAAGTTCTGCCATGCTCTTTGAACTGTTAGTGGATGCCCAGATTGCGTTGCTACTCAGGACCTCGGTCGCCTGCTCCAACCAGACCTCAAGTCCCCCATCTCACAGCTTGGAAGCTTCATGGTTAAACCCCATGGAACTTCTGTGCTTGGAAGGGAAGTCCTACTTGACAGCAGGAAAACCTCCACCAGGGCAACTTATCTAGCTAAGTGGAAAAGGTTCACTTGCTAGTGTGCCCAGCATCACACACTTTCACTTCAGGTGCCTATACCACTCATTCTAGAGTACCTCCTGCACCTAAAACAATAATGCCTGGCAGCATCATCCATCAAGGTACACCTCGCTGCTATCTCGGCCTTCCACCCAGGTGTATCTGGATGCTCTGTATTTGTCAACCCCATGGTGGGACATTTTCTCAAGGGCCTGGAACGGCTACATCCACAGATTAGACAGCCAATTCTTACGTGGGACCTTAAC